ACTTGTGCTCGAAAGTAAACGGTTATCTCACCGAGCTTTCTCGCTTCTTCAGTGCACGGAGCCTAACCCTCTCCCCTACAAAATCCTCAGCTACACTTTTTACCACCTGGACGAAGGAGGTCAGAATCCAACTGGGAATTCACGTCGATGAAAACACCATTTCGACAGTGAACAACACGAAAATACTGGGATGAACATTCGATAGTCTGCTCTCCTTCTCGGCGCATACAACCGCAATTGTCAACAAAGTATAAAGCCGCAACAAGGATCTCAAGTCGCTAGCCGGCAGCACCTGGGGCAAAGACAAAGAAACGTTGCTGGTAACGTACAAGGCAATTTGCCGGCCGGTTCTGAACTACGCTGCGCCAGTGTAGTCACCGGGGACTACTAGTACGCAGTAGATTAAGCTGCAGACTTGCCAGAACACGGCATTTAGGAAAGCGACAGGATGGCTCTTGTTGTCGGCGCAACACCACCTGCACGAGGAGGCCCACATGCTCCCAGTTAAGGACCATAACATAATGCTCTGCAGGCAGTTCCTGGTTGGGAGCCACAGATGTGGCTATCCAAACAGGCAACTCCTTGCAGAAGAGGCTTCGCCCAGGCACGTCAGGAGGCATCTCCACGAACTGACGGACGAAGTCCAGAGGTTCATCAAACAACCTCTGTGGTTGATGTTGTAGCAGCATACAAGTTCCCTAAAGGGGGAGTGTTGCTGGAGTGACAGTCCTTGGCCAGATATAAATCTGGGTCGTTCCGGCTACGTAGACCCGACTGTCGTGGGAACGTCAAACAACCTCTGGACCCGACAGCTTATCGACAGGCCTTGAACGGCATTCACAGAGAGGCAGTCTCGAGTTATGTAGACTCCCGACCTGTGAATGCCGTTCTGGGCACACAATCACCAGACGTGGACGAGACAGAACTTCGTCTGCCTCGGGCCCAACTGCGCTCTGGTTACTGCAGCAGGATGAACTCATACCTGAGCAGATTAAGCTAAGATATTCCAAACGAATGCCCGGCATGCGAAGAGTCGCCCCATGACTCTCAGCATCTCTTCGTATGCCCTCTAAACCCCACCACGCTAACGCCCCTGTCCCTATGGACAGACCCCGTCGAGGCTGTACGCTTCCTAGGGCTGCCGTTAGTGGAGCTTGACGACAACCATTGAGAGACTAACCGATCTGGGCGGGGTTGTTCAAGCCTCTACAACAACAACAACGAAACACAGACGAGCTATTAACGACATACATAGAGTCAGTCTCCACCTACCTTGACTCTCGACCTATGAATGCCGTAATCGGAGCCCAATCACTACCCGTAGAAGAGACGGAGCTTCAATTGCCAAGAGAGACCCGCGTTACCCTGGCTCAATTACGGTCTAAATACTGTAGCTACCTGTCCAGACTCGACCCCAATATCCACAATGAGTGTCCGGCATGTGGGGAAGCCCCTCACGACACCAACCACCTCTTCACATGCCAGCTCAATCCGCCTCAACTGACACCCCTCTCCCTATGATCCGACCTCATTGAAACAGCTCGTTTCCTGGGCCTCCCGTTAGTTGAGCTTGAGGACAATGATTGAATGTTGACCCGAAATAGGCGGGGCTTAGTAGTAGAGATTGGCACGGGCCTAAATTTTCAGGCCCGGCCCGGCACGAGTGCAAAATAAACTTTTAAAAACATGCACGAGCCCGCACGTTAAGAATTTTAGTGGGCCCGCCCGGCCCGCCCGGCACGACGGGACACGTCCCAGCCCGCTAATAAAGAGCCAATTTTTATTGTATGTATACATACGTACATATTTTTAATTATGTGTTTATGTACATACATATGTATATTTACTTAAGCGAATCAATTTTTACATCAACGATTTTTATAATATATTTTCTGGGAAGTAGAAAAAGTGTCTAAATTTGTAGTATTAGCAAAGGGCTTTTTCGTGCTCATTCGTGCTTTTATGAAATTTTACTGAACGCCCATGCACGCACGAGTTCGTGCTGACAGCAATTATTCCCAGCAAGGCGGCCCCCTGCCCAAAGCCCCGTGCCCACCTCTACTTAGTAGTGCCGCAACAACAACAACAACAACACATTTTTCAGCAACCGCCTTTAGTGCCGTTTGGCGGGAATTTCGGGTTGACTTTAGTGTACATCAACATGTGTGTGTTTTAGCAAAACTATAACGAATTTTCTCATCAAACTTTACGAGGATGCTAAGAAACAGATATGTTTACATATATTCTCACTATTTTCACTTTTTTAAGACTAGCATTTAGTAATTTGTTATTTAAATCTTTTGCACTTCCATTAGCAAATTTGCATATAAAAAGTGCAGCTATCACTTGTATTTGCATAAATGCACGATCTTTTTAATGTTCACGTGTGATTTGTTTACAAGAAATGTATTTTATTTTATTTTTTAACAATATAAAACGCGTTTAACCATTTCACTACTTTTCTTCAACAAAGTAAACAAGCAAACAAATCAAAATGGCTGTATTAACCAAACAGAAGGGTGCTACCACATGTTCGAAAAATAGGGACAGTAAAATACCCAAGTTATATTTCATATTGACCTCCACAACATAAGGGTAGGTTTGAATATATGTGACCTGGTCTACGGAAAGGGGGCTTAGGTGTCAAAAAATCAATTTTCACTTTTTGGTTGATTCGGATGGAAGATGAGATGCTTTTTCACGTGGTGAAAAGCAGAAATATCCTAACTTGCTTAGAAGTGTACTAAAAATGTAGAGAAAGAAGAGTAAAAACGAGTAAACGAAACGAGTTGCTTACTTTTAACAGCTTTTTCACAGAAAACTAGTTTTCGCACGTAAGCTCCCTTTTCGTAGACCAGGTCACATATGCTTTTTAAATAGCACCCTCTTAAAAACTCCAATTTGGAATATACATAATAATAATCCATATTTTTTGCATATTTTAATAAACAATATTAAAATATCAAATATTTACGCCTGCGCCGATATTTTTTATAATATAAAATATTTAAACAAGGAAAATTTGGAATAAAAAACCGCGTGATCGCCTGCGGCACTATTTAAAAAAAATAAGAACCTAAAAATTTAAACCAGTAACCATAATAGACATCACCATCACACAGAAAGGGAATTCTAGTTACCTCATCCTTTCCCAAGGCTACATCACTGGGGCGGTAGCCCCAGTTGGTGCACACCAAAAGGAGAATTCTATTTGGTAAGGGTTATAATCCTAAAGTGCGGCCGAAGGCCGCCTACCCAGAAAGGAATTCTACGCAAAAATACTGTGGACGCAAGTAAAAATTGTGATGATAAATCATCTGGCAGCACCAACTTCGGTGTTCAGTTGCAACCCTCGCATGTTTACTACTTCACTACTTTTATAAATGTTTTGTCGTGGTTAAATTAACAAAAATTGCATATTAATTAAAAGAAAATGGTCATGTGCATTAAAGGTGCTAACATTTAAGCCACATTTATTTATTTCACGCACTTTTGGATGATAAAATCGATGCAATTTGCATCAACATATTTGGTGAACTTCGCAACTTTAACAACAAATTACTTAAAAACGTGAGCGCGGGTCGGGGTCTTCACTTTTAGAACCAAAATACCCCCCTAGACGCCTCAATTTTTTTTTTTTTTACTTTTTTAGGGTCGATTTTTACTAAAATTTTCCAGGAACTTCATATTATTATTATGGTAACACAAACCACTTTTTCATAATTCTGCGATTTTTTGCGATGTTGTCTTGCCTCTTTTCCCCAAATTAACCAAGGCGTCACCGAACTGTCCAATATACTGTCCAATTCACGGTCTTGGAAAAATCAGACAAACCTTCTTGCAGAGAACTTATTTAATTTGCAAAGGCCGAAAAATAAATATTTGCTTAGTAAACAAATCAAAATTTTTTGGTAATTATCTAGGTGGGCTTTCAACGCCCAAAATAGGTCAAAATTTTGGAAAGGGGGTACCATTAGACGCGTCTTGACCCCAATAACAAGAATCCGAAAGCGGAAATTAACTTTTTTACCCGATCAAAAGTTATTAACCTACGCAAAAGGATGTTCTCTGCAAAAAATATATGGCAACGCTGGCAACATGGCGCCAAGCAAATTTTCTTGTGGAGTTTGTGAAGAAATTATTGAAGTAAATTCGTCCAGTATTTTGTGCACTGATTGTGGCAATTGGATTCACGCGAAATGCACTGGTCTGGATAACAAGGACTTCAAGAATATTGCAGGAGAAATTAAGAAAAATGGGCTGAAGTGGAAATGCAGCGCATGTAAAAGCGATGGTAGTGTGTATGTGTGAAAAGATGTGTCCGTGTCGGATAATGAAGAAACTACCGCGAGACTACTTGAAAATATGTTTGAAAAATACTTCGTTCCATTCAGACTCGGAATAGAAAACAGCTTAGATGTAATCAGGACGGAGTTAAGGAAATTAAACAAACAGAATGAAACTGCTATGAAGAAGTACACGGAGGTTGAGAAAAGAGTTAGCGCTCTTGAGACAACAATAAAGTCTTGATACGCGATCAGTTGTGCCAGATAACATTATAGCCGAGATTAATAGCCGGAAAAAAGGGAGAAGAACGCTATAGCCCTCAACGTTCCAGAATCAATAAGTGAATTATTGACATACATACATAAAATCAGCTGATGAATTTAGTTCTGTAGCTGAAAAGTTTTAGATCTCGACACTTAACAAATATTGGTTCCGTACGTCATGCGGACTGCGCCCCTCGTGCGGATGGGCGGGAATGGAGGGTAAAAACCGTTGGGATATTATTATGCTATTTTTCAGTCAGCAATTTAAATCCTTTAAATACAAAGTAGCAGGGGTATTCTCCGAGTCTTGCAAAGCCCTTGCATGGTGCAAACATTGCACGGATTGCACGGTTAAAACCGGTTTTCTTATGGGACAGCTTTGCAAACCGTGCACCGTGCAAGGGCTTTGCAAGACTCAGAGAATACCCCTAGCGTATTTTTTATACTTACATAACGGCACGGAGCACGAGTCTCCTTTCGTCGCCATAAAATGAAGCGCTTGATTTCCATAATATGATGCCCCACTTTTATCAACTTCGGTAGAAGTCAGTAGAAGTATTCCGGACCCACGCTTGTTCCAAAGTAAATCAACACGATCAGCTTGAAAAAAACTTTTACAAGCGATAGCTTGGTTTTGTGAAAGTGAAGGATACTTGTACAGTTTGCACATTGAAGGCCCTCCTTTAGCACCAGGCGTGTATACCGCTACACAAGGTGGACTAGCGCCTGGGGACAAAGATACAACAGCGCCCCTGCTACCTCCAATCTTTCGCGTAAAGGTATTAAAATTTTTACAGTCACCAGATAGATCATAAAACAGTGCTTCGCCTCCTATTACTATGGCAAAAAGTGACTCGTCTGTCGACCATGATGGCTCCCAATCAGTTTGATTTTTTTGTACAATATCAAACACTTCTGATCCGGAACTAAGATCGTAAATGAACATATTTGAGGAACCCTCCGGTTTGTCTTTGGTAACAGTATACAACTCCCATGTCGATATATAATTTCCAATCGGCGAGAATTTGAGGTAAAAGGCTTTTGGACGAGGCAGCGTACATTTGACTTTCCAATCCAGTGTATTCAGTACCTTAACTTCATTGCCATTTGAATAAGCGAAATAGTGACCATCAGAACTGAATGATATGGATCGACAATTCCGAGTTTCCTCCCGAGGAAGACTCGATTTGTACACGTATTGCAAATCTGTATTTTCGCAAGCCCATAGTTCCACTCCAACGCTAGAACGAACTAGAAAACGAACAAAAATTTCAATAAACTTCACTGAACTTATGATGTAAAACTAAACGCTGAAATTTCCTTACCTGCTAGTGCGGGACTAACATTAGAAGTACAACTGTCCAAAGCCATTGCCAAATTCTAACCTCAGCAAATGTTTACGTTAGAAGTGTAGAACTATCGATAGTACTATCCAGCACTATCGATGGTTTTAAATAACTATCGATAGTACTATCCAGCACTATGGATGTTTCTAAATACTATCAAAAATTACTTTCCGTCTTCACGTGCGGGTAACCGAGCGGTTTACGAAATCTCGTATGCTTTTCAAGGATGATAGAATACAGGATTGCGCCTTCGTTGATAATTGTGTACCACATGTAAACAAAGAATATAGCGAAAAAAGAAAGAGTTGAAATTGCTATAACAGTTCTCCTTAATTTTAATTTTTCTAAATGCTAAAATATTGCATTTCTCATTTAGGGCCGGGTCCTCAATGTCTGGTTAACACTAATCTCCGGTAAAACATCGTTATCGACGTTACCGACTCCATGTTATATGCATGGAGCCGAACACGTCGATAAAGATGTTTAAACGGAGATTAGTGTTAACCAGACATTGAGTAACGGGCCCTAAATCTATTAGAAAATAGTGAACGTTTTAGTGAACTCCATTGCTTTACAATTAAGGCTGCTGCAGCAAACTGCGGCAGTATTTCAGCGGGATTGATTAGTTAACTTGCTGAAGGAGGCTGATTGGAGCAAAAGCGAAATCACTGCATTACATAGAATGCAGCAATTCGTCGCAGTGCAACACTTGCACCTACGCATCTTGCATCTTGACGGCTGTTGCAATTTGATACACGGTACTTAATTTTATTAGTTTTTACGCAGTCTTCCACTCAAAAATCACTCGCAAACTGCAAATTACCACAATTAGAACTTCCGGTAAAACATCGTTATCGACGTTACCGACTCCCTGTTATATGCATGGAGTCGGACACGTCGCTAACGATGTTTAACCGCAGATTTGTGTAACCCTGACATTGAGTAACCGGCCCTTAGCAGAATAGAAGCATAATACTATGGGCCGTTTACTCAATATGTGGTTAACACTAATCTCCGTTTAAACATCATTATCGACGTGTTCGGCTCCATGCATATAACATGGAGTCGGTAACGTCGATAACGATGTTTTACCGGAGATTAGTGTTAACCAGACATTGAGTAACCGGCCCATAATATTATGCTTCTATTCTGAGATTTAATGCAGATTTAGCCCTCTGAAGAGACTTAGGGCCGGTTGTTCAATGTCTGATTATCACTACCAATACACTATCGACGATTTCGACATCATGCAGGTAACATGTGCATGTGATCGATAAAGCAGTAGTTGTGCTTAACCGGAGCTTCTACCTCCGATTTTTGCTAATCAGATTTTGAACAACCGGCCCTTAACGTTAAATCTTTTGAGATTTACCATGAAAAATTAAATCTAGATTGACAGTCGATTTAAGTTAAATCTTCATTAAATCTTCAATAATATTGATCAATAAATACAATTTGTTGGATGTGGTAACCACAAATTCGCTTTCCATAAGTCAAATGATATTTGTATTTTCAATATACAGTTGCGGACATTGAAACCTAGCCTACTGAAAAAGCATGCATTTTCGTATTTTTAAACGTTTTTATATTTTGGTTAGTTTTAAAGGCAAATTATTAATTTTTACATAACTTTGGTTTTAATAAATTTAGAAGATATTTAGCCTTATCCTGAGTTTCATTTTCCCCGAAACGGTTCACTTTTCACTTTTGGTTTCCATAGTTTTACTATGGGCGAATGACAAATTTTCGGGTGAATTTTTTTTCAGACGAAACTCAGGATAAGGGAGATTATTTTAAAAACTAAAAATTCAGGAAAAATGTTTTATAATAATATCATGCAGAGCCTTCTCCGCTTTGTATAAATCTTTTACGCGTAGTTACATAACATTTATAAAACTCTGTAATGGTTCTGCTTCGGCAACATTGCACCAAACTTCCTCTAGAACTAAATTCGACTCAAGAACTGCATTGGCAGTCATATTTGCTAACTAGGTCTTCATGATAAGAAAATTTCTGATGCTGAATGGGAATGCCTCTTGTTCAATATACAAGCTAAGATGTCTTTTCATAAGCCAATATAATTATGTTGGATAAGTCCTTACAAAATAAGCTATTAGCTTAAATTTCTGGACAAATAAAACACGACTAATATTAAGAATTCTTATAATAGGGGTCTTCATCTAAAGTGATAAAGCGATAAATTGCTTAAATTAATCAGTTTATCCGCCGTCTTTCATAAACGGACCTTGGTAAATAATTGCATAAAACAGTTTATTATTTAACTTATATGGCTAGTTACGTTTCATTCTTGCCTCGTCCATTGTGTTCGTTTGGTTTTATGTGTTCCTAGCAAAAGCGAGAACCTGGCAGCCTGTAAGGGTTGAATTTTGCTGAAATTTATACATTTATCCACCAAAGTCGTTTGATAAAGTGATAAACTTTGGTTAAATAGATTTCCATACAAAGTTTGACAGTTCATTTATCAAAATGATAAATTTATCACTTTATCAAGTTTATCAAGAGTTTATCACTTTTTAATGAAGACCCCTAATGAAATTCCGCTCTGGCACCTTCCTTTTATCTGTCTGTATTTCAATGTCCGCAACTGTATATATAAAATCTCACATAAGCAAACGTCAAATATTTAAAAATGTTAACTTCAAACATATTTCGTTGTGGCAATGGAGACGGTTGTGTCTTAGCAACTGGATTTATTAAATCTTAACAGATAACTCTCAATGGGGACATAGTATAATGTGCCAAAATAACCAAATCTTTTGGGAATTAAAACAAACATCTGACATTTTTCTACTTGCAGGAAAAATGATTTTTTGCGTTCCAGCAATTTTTCACAGTTCCTCGACCGTTGCCCTTTCTTGTGAGAGATATTTTGCCTTTTGACATTCAACAGGTTTTAGTCCAAAAATCGCTGGAACCCACCTAGTGTCACGATCATTTCTCACGGAAACGATCAGGGCTGGATTCTGTAACCAGTCTTGCCATTTTACCCTTTTTCTGGTTAGATTTAGCCGATTTTGCTATTTGCCTTGTTTTCTTAAAATTCAAAAATATATTGGGGTGTTCACAGTTCGTTCCAAATTATGTCTGAAAATGTAGACGTCTACATTTTGAGACATCTTTAGCATCAAACTGTGAGCACCCCTTTCTAGCAGTCGTCGCAAAATCGTCTCAAAACTGTGCTGGTGTTGCCAGACATTTCCTCTTTGCGTGCATTTTTTATATATCGCCTTTCGATTTTGTTTCTGAAAAATTGTAATTATTTAACTTAATTACAAATTCCTAATATTTGTTATTTCTTTTCCTTGATTTGTTTCTTTTCATCAGAAATTGCGCTCAAATTAAATGCAAATACAGAAAACGTGCCCAATAAATAAAAAAAAATGTGATTAGTATTGCCATAATGCAACCCTGCTGCGAGGTTGCAAAATGTAGACGCGTAAAAAACATACCTTTGAGTGTGACAAAATGTAGACGGCGTCGTTTTCCAATTTTGTATGGGAAACAACAACACCACAGATTTTACGGTTAGAAAACGTCTTAAAATGTAGACGTCAACATTTTCAGACACTATTTGGAACGAACTGTGAACACCCCATATGTTTCCAATTTCGACTAAGCGATCCAAAATCTATTAGAAATGGCAAGTGGCCTTATCGCGGAGAAAATTTTATGTCAGGCAGGGTTATATAAAATTGAGCCGATTTCGCTAATCTTTGTTTTAAACGCATATATTTTGTCTAAAGAAAGCCGGAGCGGGGATTTTCTTCATAAAATTTTTGTTATGAAAATCTTAAATTTAAGTGTCAAGTTTTATTCGCAAACTTAGGCCCAATTTCAGATGGCTATTTAAGTAGAGATTGTTGATTAACTTCCATTACTCATTTTCAGATCATACATTTAGGGCCGGTTACTCAATGTCTGGTTAACTCTAATCTGCGGTTAAACATAGTTATCGACGTTACCGACTCCCTGTTGTATGCATGGAGTCGAACACGTCGATAAAGATGTTTAACCGCAGATTAGTGTTAACCAGACATTGAGTCACCGGCCCTTAATCTGCACTTAAATGGACAATATTGGCTATTAAAATATGAGATATGCAACCCTGTGTTTGTACCAAACAACCAAGATTGATTGGTAGGTTGTTTAATCAATCCCACAAAATTCCACCAAAAAGGAATCCGCTGTTCAGCACAAAATGTAAACAAACAAGCAAATGCAACAACAATTTCAAGGAACAAGCAGCAGTGCTGCCAATTGTTTGGCATATTTAAACCAAAGTCCATCTGAAGCCCAACGAAAGTTAAATGGCATTTAAACAACAATCCACAATAAAAACTTGAGTGCCATTTAAATATTCATTTGAAATTGGCCCTTAGAAAATAACAAATTAGGGGTCTTCGTTTAAACCCGTAAAAGCCTAGTAAACCTCGTAAAGCTCGTAAATTTACGAGCCTCGTAATAGAACTGTCAAAATTTGTATGGAGCTCTATTTACGAGCCCCACGTAAATTTTCGAGGCAAAATTGATGCGCAAACGACCTCGTAAACTTCAGTGTTGCCGAGTGGAATTTTTATACTAAAATGTATGATAAAACAAAAGATAAAAATACGCGAATAAAAGGATAAATTCCATCCACTAACTGTATTGACTTAAAGTTTCTGCTACATTTCGGCATTTTTAATTATATCTTAGCCAAGAGTGAGAGCTTCAACGTTTATACGCACGTATTTTTTGCAAATATCAATTTGCAAAATGGTAAACTTTGCCGTATAAACGCTGAGTTAATTTTTATTTGCAAATAACCGAAAACGTCGATAACGATGTTAATCGGTGATTAGTGTCAATCAGGCTTTGAGCAACCGGCCCTTAAATTCGTAAAGTCTTAAACGGTGTAAAACTCGTAAGTTTACGAGGCTTTTATGGGAACGCCCCCATGCGTGTAAATAGCTGCGTAAAGTGTCTGTTTGACAGTTGAACCAGAATTTTGTGAAGAAATTTTTGTTTCGTAGTATTTTCCATAACATCCCGCCTTCTTGTCGCTTACTACGTTTATACGTATAATACCTCAC